GGCGATGACACTAAGCGCCACCACCCACCCACCAGAGAGAAACCAAACCGATACAAGATTCTGTGAGACTTCTTTGCAGCTGTTGTTTGCGGTTTCGAGTTTTGAGTATCAATAGAAAATGCAGTCAAGATTCAGTTCGTCAGTTTTAAATGGATCATGGAGGGCAAGATCTCCAATTCTTATTGCCCGGCGCGGAAAAGTCTGCTTGAGCCGGCCTCGCACCTTTTATTCTAGATATAGAATCTTATCGATGAGACACTACGTAAATACGTTCCCGTACACTGGTACGCGTATTTTAGGAACTAGATGTTTTAGTAGATTGCCGCTTCAAAGAGATCGACCATTCTGAGGTTTCCTCCGTCTCGTAGAGTCGTAGCTACGTTCGTCGTTAAAAGCGACAATTAGACTAAGAATGTTGATCGACCAGCAAATAGTCAACTCCAAGTAATTGGACATTCCCGAACGGCCTCTCAAAGTCTCTATACCTCCTACCCAACTCTCGTATACCATCCCGGACCGATAATATTTGCAAAAACTCCGATACAGGGACCTACAAGCGAACATTTCCAAACGAGTTAGATACATCCCGAACAAACGAGAAAGCACAAGTTTCATTTGTAATGGAGAAAGCCTCGATTCATCTGATGGGTCTTAGAGGGCCTCAATGAGTTATGTAACTCGGTAGAAGCATGCACGTTGATGTTCTAGTACGAAGACTCGCAGGACGCTGCAGGAGGATAGCATGTGTTGTCCACGAGTCACATCTCATCCTTTTCCGCGCCTAATGGCAGAGTCTTTTTCTATTGGTGGGAGGTCAGGCTTTGATGGATCCGCTGTAGTGTTACTTATTGTACTTATGAATACTGGAAGCCAAAATAATGCATACTAATTTAAATCGTCGGTACCTTTCTCGACCAAATAGTACTAGAACATGCGAGTAGGAAGTCAGCAGGCCTCCTAAAATCAATGCGATGACTAGGTTCCTAGGTTACTAGCGACGATTAGTCAAAGTTAGCCGTGCCGTTTGCAAAGTATGAAGTACGGGGTAAGGTTGGTCAATATAAAGCTTATATGAGGTTCGGTAGCGGGTGAAGCTCGGACTTTGTTTAGCGGGCCTAGGCAAGGTGGGATTTGGTTTCTGTGAGAGGCAAGAAAAGGCACAAGAAGGTGCTGATGCATAAAGCCACCTCAATTAAAACCTCATACATACAAGGTCGAGAAACCAGGGGTTCAACTTACCCATATTATGGAAAATGGCAACACGATCGTAATGGTCGGCTGAAGTTTGAAGGAACCCTGCAAATGATATTCCAACAACTCTTAGGATTTAGCAGAACAAGGGTTTCGGGAATGAAAGCATTGCAGAGTACTAAAGACTTTCTTCTGTGTAAAGTTTCCCCAGACTTTCGGAGTTTTGGATTGCTCAAAGGTGTTCGTGAAGAATACTGCAGTTTCAACCGTGTATAGTTTCCTCCAATCGACTAGTAATCGGTAGCACATCAATTTGTCGAGATATCTAATCCGATTGAACCCTTTTCAATTAATATATCTTGGCACTGCAGGACCGAAAAGCGATGGAATATGCCGCTCGCCGAGGCTGAGGGTATTCTATTGAGATACAAAGGGGAGTTCGTAGAGGTGGGTTGTACTGGTATTTATCCTCTTCTTTTCATTGGGATAGATGGTAGTCACTACCTACATTATATCATATCCGGATATGCACGATGTAGTGAATTCGGATAGAATCTACTCTGTTGTTTTGCCTCTATGAAAGACTTTCTGGTTTGACAAATTGACACATCGTCCCGTTTCCTGTCAGAGGGAAAGCTGGGGAAGCAGGGATTCGCATTCGTTTTCGATTGCATTAGCAGCAAGGACTCTTGGAATCTGGACTTCTTGCTCGAGCAACAACTCTAGATTGAAGTGCATTATTTGGCAGAGCAGCAGGGTGTCCACTTCGAAAGCTTGCAAGATGTGGCCATGTTCTTGCGCGTTCGTGGCGTACACATTCACATATATCTAACGTCCTTCACCCTTCTTCGCATTGCATAGCATGGCATAGCATGGCAGAAGATATGTATCGAAGACGATTATTATCATTTTGCCGGCTTCCGATTGGTTGCCAATATGTTTTTCCAAGGGAAGATCTAACGGATATCAGGTGAGTATCAAAGATTTAGGGTAGCAAAGGAGAAACTAGTTGATAGTAGGGGTGTTTGCACAGCATATTATTGCCGTTCACCAAGATGGTTCCGAGGTTGATGAGGAAGCATTGGAGAGCATAACATGATGGATGAAACGACGAATGAGAATGCCAATTTCGATTTACCTTAACCTCTTGTCGTCATACGCAAGGTACAAAGGCATGTTTACGTATTCAGAATAGGTCTAGATGACGAAGAGTACCGGTACGCAAACTCTTACCACCCACCTGGACAGCTACTTTGTGTAATCTGTCTAAGCGTCAATTGATATCTATCTTATCGTCGTCGGACAAGCTTGGATCATATCATGGCCTTTTGATACGGGGTCTGGAGAAGGCGAGTTTTAAGGTAGGGACTGCGGTGGAGCCATTCGTATGTGTTAAGTACATCGAGGTAGAATAGACGGGGTCTACCGATTTAGACAGTCTTCGGGTGTGTCATTGAGGTACACAAGAAAGAAATAGATGAAATTATATATGCGTATTTCTTTAAAGCGATGACCGCAATCGAGAAAAGCAACGCATTTTTAAACCCTGCATCTGTACTCGAGTAAGAGGCTAAGAGCAATTTCTTCGGATAAGAGCGGCGAGGCGCAATGATGAATGATACCAAGAAACTCAAGACGCAGCTGGTACAGTAATGAAGGTAAGGTAATAAAGGTTCATGGATATAACTTTTGGTTCCGGATATACCATTTCTTGTCTCTGCCGCACAATGCCGATTCGCAAGTTATTAGAAATAGTGAATGATTGAGTGAATAATGTATGTACCTCGGCACATACTATCTAGGTTATTCCGAGACATTTTGGACCAGAACATCTAAAAATTTGTCTGTACCTTGGCTATCTAGGTACATACTAACGATACGGAGTTCTACCGTACTGTGGGTAAGGTTAATGATTATGTAGTGAGTGCTACATACAGAAAGCTTGCTGCTTGAACATTGAATAAGAGCCGAAGGAGCTAATTTATATCGTTAGCATAGCTAGAAATGTAGGAGGAGGTTGAAGGAACTATTATCCAATTAGTTTCTCCTTACTATTTATTGTACCGAGTATCGGAGTGTGATAGCCAATGTTTGTAGTGAGATTATTAAGATTATTGTCAAATGAAAGGATGAAGAGGCGAATACTCCAGGAGACAATAGACCTAGATTAGTGAATCTTGGAGATGAGATGAAAAATACTTGTTCGTTTTCATCATAATACTTCGGTCGGATTACCAATTTGTAGCTATCTCCTACCTTTTCCTTTGTGCTAATATGGTTTTGAATCATAGGTAATGATACTCGAGTAGTAATGAATGCTGTAGATCATCAATATGCTATAGCGAGTAAAAGAAGGAGTTCTTTGTATACAGAAGTGACTAGTAGATTAGTAGATTAGTCTAGTACCGGTATTGCCTAAGCGCCTTACAGCACTAGCATGTAGCTATACGGGCACAGCCTCACAGGAAACTTTCATTGATTCGATTGATTCGCTTGATGAAAAGCTCCCATTATCAACCGCTCTTGAAGCTTTAACTTTTTCAAGGGAAACTTTCATGTATGATGTATTTTGAGTACTCGAATAGAAACCTGATGCAATTAATATAAATTAGCCAATCATTTCAAACACTCTACCAATAAAGGATTTAACATCGAATCAATAATCAATAAAATAATCACACTCACTCACTCACTCACTCACTCACTGACATCAAGTCCTCAATAAAATGCCTCTTAAAACGGCAAGAGAATTAATGACCTAACCTCAACTCCTAGTCAAAGTCCACTTGTCCAATGTCCCCCACCACCCATCCCATCAATTATCACCACCACCCACCACCACCACTACCAACCGCTACCACACCCACCCCTACACAAAAGCCGTCTCAGAGTTATGGATATGACCAATGATTATCCTAGATTATTTTGAATCTACCCTTGAAGCACATATTATATTCACACATATCCAACCAGCTTTATTATTGGTCCATAGACATACGGAAGTTGAGGGATTCGTCTTATCCCCAGTCTCTACCACCTAATCCTGGCGGGCAAAGACATCCCATCTCTCTCGGTCGTCTACTCCGTACACAGGGAGTTTTGTCTGCGACCCTTAGAAAACTTACTTTTACGGTACTGTAATGCAAGTTCAATAGAACGTACTTACTTAGCATAGTAGTTAGTCTTCACAGACCTTCTCTCTCTGCAAGAAAGCAGCCACAGTCGTCTTACTTTAAGCACAGAGTACACACATACGATTCCGTGCTCCTCCACCACAGCCACCCCAGATTTCAACCACAGACTACAACCATTTTAGTTGTGCGAAATTACAGCGAAATTACATACAGTACTCGAATAGATACCTAACAATAATTATACTTTCAATTGGGCTTCTCTTTCATCCTCCTCAATTGCAAGAAAAGTACATACAGCCGGAAAGGGCCTGCAGATATTCACTTATTGGTCAAAGGAAGAATCATCTACGCCATCTTCATTTACTGGTCTGCAGAAACGAACTGTTAGAGGATCGGGTCGGCTAAAGCTTCAACGGCCGAAGGTTGCATCAAGAACTACAAGTCCCCAGTAAAAGAGCCCGCCAGGTTTCTATTCATTGGAAAAGCCGTAAGTCGAACGTCCATCCATCGTGCCTTTGCCACGAATAATCAGACTTCAAGCCGAGAACGTATGAAATGTTGAGCGAATTTTAGCATGCACAAACCTTCATAGGAATTTATTCTCATATACCAAAGCCTCGCTTTCTTTCAATTATGCTGGAAAAATCAGCCATCAATCAACAGCAACCGCTCAATATGCCTGCGGCGACGTCATCTAATAGCGCCGAATCAGATGGTGGGATAGATGGTGGGATGAATGGTGGGGAGAATGGTAAGAAACAATCATGAATCGAATATCACTCGGACATAAAACTCCTATTCAATCGATGACCTTATTACTTCCTTGGTGCTAGTGGAACTTTAACTGACATTTCCATCACTTCCAGCCTTAACAGCGTCAGGAACAACCACTGTCTCCAAACCTACCAGCACTTCATCTCTGCCCAAATCCGACAAACCTAAACCCCATCGTTGCGATTTGTGCAAGAGAGGTTTCGCACGTCTGGAGCATCTCAAGCGGCACTACAGATCACACACAAAAGAAAAGCCATTCGAATGCCCCCAGTGTAAACGGTGCTTTGCGCGGCGGGACCTTCTGTCAAGACATCAGAATAAGCTGCACTCAATTAAAACACCTCTCACAAAATTAAGAAAAGGAAGCTCGCAAGAAAGTATGGCAAGTAGTGCAGCCGGAGCTGGTGGACCAAACAGGGTGCAAAAGAACTCTATTGCTAATCCAAGCAGAGGAGCAGGAGCGATGAATATTACCAATCCAAGCAGAGGCACAGAGACCATGAGACCAAGGGCAAATACGATTAGCAACATAGAAGGTGTTCATCTACAAGTATCGATGGATCAAGCAGCAGCAGCGTCTCTGACGGCGAGGAACCAAAACCATGCAGTTTATCCAAACCACGGCCATAGCCGTCACCCTAGTCTCACGGAGCTGCCAATGAATCGCAATTATGGCTTTGGCGGACCGCGCGGGACAGGCGGAATGTCCACCGCGTTGGATAGCCGCGGTATCAATCATGCATTGCCCCCCAAACTTGAAACGTCTCTTCTCCACCGCATGGATTATTCAAATCCTTTGCGAACTGCGCCGGTCGCTGGATGTTACTCTAATTCCGCATTTGAGTTCAACAACTTTAGAAACTTTGGATTTCCACCTGGAGATGGCTCAACGATAAACCCCAATGCCTTGCATTTTAATGACTCACCACAATCGATGGCCGTCGATTCTGTTGATCCCTTTCAGCCCAATTTCTCAGATATGTCCACAATCCCGATGTTGGATGACAACTTTGACTGGAGTCCGATGGGTGCGAATTTCAGCCAAATGAACTTTGATGGATCCAATGAGAATGCCATAGACGGTTCATCCTCCTCTGTCATCAGTACCGCCAGCCACAGTGGAATCAGTGAAGGCGTTATGCTGGATGGTTCCAACACAACTGCAAACTCTACGTCTATATGGCAGCAACCTTTGTCGGGACATCCTCTGATGACATCAAACTTCGTGGATCATGGCAATCAAAGTTTTGCGAATCTCCCGAATGGAAATTCTATATCTCCACACACTTTATCGCACACTTTACCGCACACTCTACCGTACAATTCACCGCACACTTTACCGCACGCTTTACCGTACACTCCACCGCAGATTTTACCGTACGCTTCACCGCCACAAATCCCCGGGACTTTATATTTTCCTACGCCGGCTCAATTGGGCCCAGATAGTAGCGGAATGGGTAACTAGTTTGCAGGGCTGCATCGGACGTGAAATGGGAATCCTAGGCATGGGCGAGGTTGACACGGGCCCAGTACCTGCTTTGATCTTTCTGGAAAAGGAAGATATCAAATGGTTGCAAAAAATCCAAAGATCTTTTCAAAAGCACTGAATTGAAGATGCATCTTGAACAAACAAATGCTCAAGGACTTCCGGCACTAAATAATTGTGGATATGGAAGTAAAATCTTGAGTGTATTTCTTTTGAAGCCAAAAAAGATGAAAGATTTCAAATCAGAAGGGATTATTCTCGTATTAATTATACAAAGTTTCGGCTTTTATGTTCAACAAAGCTGAACTTTGATCAGGTTTTTCCTCCCTGCACCTTTCTTATGTCTCAAAATACTAATTCGAGTCATAGAGCCACAGTAATACATCTCATGGCATATGCCTAGGGGTAGTAGAGTTGTGAATTGACGGTCAAATCGAATTGTATAGTCCATTGAAGTCAAGTCAACATCAATCTAGGCTCTAGCTATCTATCAAATGATCTACTATTTACAAATGAGTGAAAATTTATATTTTAATATAGTAAACAATGAAATATACTCGCAAAGTATTATATATAATTACTCGAGTATTAGCGATAATATTACATTTTAATAGTTGTTTATAGTTATTTATAATCATTTAATAATATTAGATATTCTAGAAATTTTATATTTTATATAAATATATATTATTTTGAATATTATTTATATTATTCTATAATTAATTATTCCTACTACTCGAGTAGTACTCGAGTATATTCGCAAATAATTTTAAATCAATCTTTTATAATTTATTTAGTTATATTAAGTCAACTACCCCACTTTTCGGCTACCCCCCCTTTTCGGCCACCCTCAAAACCCACACCGCCTCAGCAACCTACCTTCTTAAATATTTTCTGATTAAACAACCATTCAATCAATTGATTTCAAATTTTGATTTACTATTATTTATATAATATCGAAACTCCATATTGAAGACGATATTGCTGTAGCTTTAAATACTATCGTGAATAATGTTTCGATACGAAAAGCTGCTCTGGAATATAGGATTCCTTGCATTATACTTCAGAGTTGTATCAATAACTGTGTATCCTATCAAAAAGGTTCCGAAATGATACAAAAGATTGTTTTGATTCAGGAGAAACGTTTAGTGGAATAGATATTAGTATAAAGGAGCTTAGGTACTAATCCTATTCATTAGCAAATTCGAGAAATTGTTGAATGTCTTCTCGATATAAAAGAACTCGATTCTATCTTTAGAAAACGATGGGTATACAATTTTTTGGAGAGGAATCTAAAGATTAGAATCAAGAGAAGAGACAATATAGAATCGATTTTGCCCGAGTTTCGGGTGCTTTCCATGATATTATTGTACCATAGTTTCGAAAATTCGAATTGCCCGAGATTATCGATATAAAACCACAAAATCGATACAATATGGATAAGGCTGGTATAATGGAGGGTTAGGGTTTTAATAGCCTAGTAGTAGGAAACTCCCAGTGTTGTTATATTAAAAAAAAAACAATCTGGTTCAAAAGTTTGGACATTTTTTTATTGAGTATATTTCGGCAACAGAAAAAGCCCTCAAACTATTTGTTATTTTCAAGGGGAAAACTGTTTAACAACAATAGTTTTCTACTGATTTTGGTCTTTATAAGGATTGGAATTTTATTGTTACAGAAAATGGATGGATTATTGATGCTACAGGGTTTAAATAATTGGAAAAGATATTTATACCTCAAATTACCCCCTCTGAGCCCGGTAATACACAATTATTTATATTGGATAAGTATGGAAATCATGAAACTATATGTGACCAAAAGGGTATAAACAGGACTCCGATTGTGTACTTAGAATCTACAAGTGAAGAGCTATGTAGAGTGCTAAAAGAAGGACTATATATACAGGTATTGGGA